GTGGTTCAGTTGCCAATAACCCAGAGGCCAGAGGGCATGAAGTCAAATCCCACCACCAGCAGGGGAACTTCAATTCAGGCAATTCATTCAATCTTAACTTAAAAGCTCAAATCACTGGTTATGAAACTACTCGATTGTTGTAATGTTCCAAAGAATATAAACAGTAACATGGCAAGGACCAAGCAACCCAGTTGTGAGAGTGTTTGATGGAAAAATATTGGCCATAATCCTGAAGAAACCTCATTCCTCCTCCTCCCCCACTACCCCCGCCCTCCCCCACTCTTCTTTGAGATGGTACCATGAGATCCTGTGTCTAGACAGCGTGGAAGGGGCTACGTTTAACATGTCTTCCAAAGGACAGCACCTCTGGCAGAGTAACACTCCCTCAGCACAACACCATTGGGCATGCTGGAGTTTCGGGAGTGCAACTTTTGAACCTCAACAATCTAACACAGAATCAAGAATTTTACCCACAAATCCAAACCTTGACTATGTTTGATTACCTAGTAACTTCAAAGGAAAAGGTTTGGGTAGAATTTAACATGGAGGCAAAAGCTGACTAATCGTAGAAAAGTAGAAATTCCAGATGGGATGGAAAATGGCCATATTGTGGCTGGCAAAAGGAATGCAGTCAGATAGCTCCTAGTATCCCTCTTGAGGCTTGAAAACTGGAAATTTCAACTCCTTAAAGTTCTTGAAGCCAGGGGACTGGTAGAGCCCTGACTAATGCAGGAAGACACTTTCCTTAATGGGAGATTGTCATCAATGAACAACCATTTCCAGTCTCCCAGGCTCAGGTACTATGAACAGCTGGAGTGCAAAGAAATAAATAAATTGGGTAGGAAGTCAGTCTGGATGTCTCAAATTGAAAACATGTAAAGCTGCGAACATTAAAACAGAATAGGCGAGATCATTGCACATGTTAGCGTGAAGGTTCCACTTTGACTAGAGTTCAAGACAGTGCAAGGTTGATTTGGCATCTGCAATCCCATTTGGACCTAATGCTCCAGACATCCCTCTCTCTTAACCTCTCACAGCTATTCAAAGAGAATGAAATACATTTTATTCACTCATACCAGAGTCCAGAAGGTGGAGTGAGCACAAGGCTTCTATATACACATCACTTTGCAGATGTTGATTTCAATTCCATCCTGACTCAACGCTGACATAAAAGGACTCCTAGCTCAACATCTATCTTAAGTGTGACCATCATGAGCAAATCCTTATTTGTTCACGGAGTGTGGGCATCGCTGGTTAGGTCATCATTTATTTCCCATCCTGATTGTCCACACAACAGTTACAAGCTAGCCACGTTGTTGTGGATCTGGAGTTACGTGTAGGCTAGGCCTGGTGAAGATGGCAGATTTTCATCCCTATAGGACATTAATGAACCCGGTGGATTTTTACAAGAATTGACAGAGGTTACATGATTTTCATTATGTTAGCTTATTATTTCATTGTTTCCAAATTTTACCTTCTACCATGATGGGATTCAAATCCTCGTCCCCAAACATTGATCTGGGGTCCGAGGTTGCTTGTCTAATGACCTTACTGCTACTCTACTGTCTGTCCCCAGGGGCATCATAGTCTTCATTCTGTGGAAGCCAAATGTCAGCAGCTTTAATGCCACTATGAGAATTGAAAAGTGGCTATAGCAATACAAGGACGATATACTAGCTATGTGGATGACGACTCAGGTCTATAGGTGTTTGACAGGGTTCTCCAACTGTGTCCAAACCATCTCCCACACTTGTGCCTTCCCCTACCCCTTTCCTGCCAAAACAACGATAGGGTTCCCCTTGTTCGCAATTTCCACCCCACTAGTCTCTGCATTCAAAGGATCCTCCTCCATCATTTCCACCACCTCCAGCAAGATATCCCCATCAAACAATTCTACCGCACCTCTCCAATGTCAACATTGCACAGGGACCATTCCCTCCGTGACATCATGGCCTATATCTAACACTTCCTCATCTGCATCTTCCCATGCAATGCAGAATGTGTAATATTTGCCCATTCACCTCCTCCATCCTCACTCTCACCTTCTAAGGCCCCAAACACACTTTAAAGGTGAAGCAGTGTTTAACTTGTACTTCTTTCAATGTAGTCACTGCATTCCTTGCTCACAATGTGGTCTCCTTTACATTGGTGAGATCAAATGCAGACACACTGCTCTGTCTGTAGGAATGACCCTAACTTCCTAGTTGTTGCTATTTCATTAAGTCATCATTCTCCTATGCTAACATTTCTGACCTGGGTTTGCTGCAATGTTCCAACAAAGTTCAATACTAGCTCAAGAAGCAATTCTTCATTTTCCACTTGGCACGTTGCTACCTCTAGGACTCAAAATTGTATTTCATTACTTCAGAACATGACATCTGTGCTCTCCATTTTTCTTAGAACTCCACCACACACACTCACTCAGACACATACACATACATGCACACACATCAGACACACACAGATGGACAGACACCCACCCACACACACACACACACAGAGTCTTGTTGACTCACAGTGGAGCAGACCCATTTTCTCTTTATCACAGCGATCATTTACATCCTTTATACACCTCTATCTTCCCTCCTACCACCATTGGTAACCCTTTTGTCTTTTGCTCTGGGCACCTTCACCACCTGTTCCACTCACTCCTCCTCCCTTTCTGTCTACAGTGCACAAAACATAACATTCCAGATCCTTTCAGTTCTGAGGAAGAGTCACATCAGACACAAAATGTTAACTAGGTGCAGGGCTGGATGAACACAGCAGGCCAAGCAGCATCATAGGAGCAGAGAGGCTGA